TTGCCCAACCTTCCTTCCGAGGAGTGGCCGGTGGGTTTGAACCGCCAGCCTTCTGGTTAGCAGTCAAGTGCTTTAGCCACTATGCTACCAGAGCTTGCAGGTGATAGAGTAAAGAAATGTAAAGTTTCAGCAATAGGTGCTAGATTTTCATTTGGGAGTCATGCATAAACAAGAAGTTATTAAAATTATGGAAAGAATGAAGAGTGAGGAGGGAATGGAAGAGGAACCCTCAAAGAAGCCTTAGAAGAAGGAGGAGTAGTGATACAGGAGGAAAACATGTCTTGAAAGTGGTCAGTGACATCACTTGTAGCAGAGAGGCTCTTTGATGAGGCCTTAAGTGAGAGTGAGTTCAAAGGGCTCAGCTAGGGGAACAGGGGATGGAAGCTAGATTGTGGTGGGTAGGGAAGAGAATGGGAATGGGGATAATTGCTAACATTAATGAATGCTTACAAGAGGCAGACACTCTTCTAAATTCTTTAATGTATTAATTTGTTTAACCCTCACAATGACCCATTATCCCAGTTTTACAGGTGGAGAAACTGAGACAGAGATTAAGTTAACTTCTCCAGGGTTACATAGTAAGAGAGAGCTGGGATTTGATCCCAGACATTTAGGGTCCTGTATGCTTAACCATATTCTCTAACATAGTAGGATTCATTTTCAAGACATTTGGCTGATAAAGGCAGGCAGTAGGGACTCCAGATCAAGGAACGCTGTATAGGATATAAGGAACAAGTAAGTAAACCAAGCACTTTATTTTTAATTAGTATTATCAATGAAAAAATCAGAGCTGGCAGTAATCTTACCACATTCTATTTCTTTTCTTTCTTGTGCTCCTGATCCCTGCTCTGTAGCCACCACTCAACGTATACACATACGCACATTGCCCATTTATAATAACCACTGGCTACATTTTAGAAAAAAAACCCTGCTTGGATTCTACCATTAGACTTGGTTACTGATAACCAAAATTACAAGGAAGGAGGAAGGGGCAGACATACAGAACTCTGACCACAAATGTCTTAACTGTATAGGAATTTTGAGTCAAAACTATGTGCACGAGAAAGTGTTACTGTGGTGATGAAGTTTTGGAAAGATACAAGAAAAGTTTGGGAAGACAGTCATTTTTTCCCCCAATTTATCTCCTGGAATTTATAAAGGCAGAAGAAATTTGTACAGCTTCCACACTCAAGTGAGAAGACAGCTGCAACTTCCTTAGGAATGAGCAGCAAGGGGACGGGATCAGCTGGCTCCTGTCTTCATGCATCCCTCCCTGATGGACAGTGCAGCATTCTAGGAGGTCTGTGGGGACAGATGCAGGGGAAGGACATGCAGATACTGACTGCCGCTTGCTGTGAAGTGTTCTCCTTGATTCAAATAAAAAATGGAGCATTACAATTAAATGTAAGTATTCCATTTTTCCTTTTCTTCCATAAACTAAAATGTTACACTCACCAGGCACATATTTCCCTCTTTTTCTGCTCCCAGTAGCTCCAGTGCACAGTGGAACATAACAGGGACACCAATCAAATGACTCCTCTCCTCTGGTTTATCTTCTTATCTCTGTTTGTTGTTGCTGTCTTTTTTTTTTTTTTAATACAAATCCACATTTTTATTTATTTTTAAGAAGTTTAATCCTTAAGGAGTACAACATCACATGGATGCTCCATCCAATGATCGTAGCAGGAAGATTGCTTTGGAATTTGGCATGAACCATGCCACTGTTTCCGAGGGTGTGAGTTACCTTCCCCCAGATTGCTCTGGTGGTAGGTTAGCCACCAGGAGTCATTGTGCTGTATACATGTGCTTTGTACACGTAAACACATCACTTGCCTAAATAGGGTCTTTCCTTACTCATTGTCCAGCTTTCACATGCATATGAGGCTATTGAAAATCCATCTATCTGTGGATACCCTTAAACGCTCTTACTTAGGAACCAGATGCCTAGAGTCCCTGGATGGTCCATTCCTGCTGATTGAGCAGCACTAGGTGAACAAATGATGCCTTATCTTTCAAAGACAGATAGTATGACTTAAGGCCTGGCCATATGGCAACTCTGAGCCTCAGTCACAGGATGCCTAGTACTACTGCGGCATGATGCCCACACTCTGGGTTCTTTCCTGGGGAGAGAAGGAAGATGGCGTGCACACTGCTGCCCTGGGTTTAATCAAGGTGTCCTCTGACCATTGATTTCGGTGAGGGCTCAGGCCTGGACTCATATGTTGTGTTATAATGATGTGGAGGAGAAGGGATGTAACACCATTCTACTAGGCAACATTCAACTCCCAATTTCTCCACCCAACGATATTCTTCCCTTTACATTCAAGGACAGCTTCTTTTCTGTTAAACAGGGAAGTCATCTGTTCTTCTACGTCTAAATTCTTCCTCATATTTGTAAAAGCTGGAACGGACCTCAGGAGACTTTTCAGGATATATTTCCCTCAGTCCTTAAAATATATAATTTCCTAAAAGCAGAAACCACAAGATACATACTATCTCATGATCAAACTTCTCCCTGGGAGTCACTCAGGAAAAAAGTAAAGTAGCATATTTGTTTTGAGAAATCTAAATTGTATATAAAGGTATAAAATTAAAATTAAATTATTTCATCAGTCCTTCCAATTTTATCCCCTAGGTATAATAGTGCCCTTCTACACATAAGCATATACATTTATGGCTTCTTTATTCACATAAAATATACTTGCTATATGTCCTTTTCTGCAACTTTGTCTCTCCCTAACCATCTTTCCACAGCAGTTCACATAGTTCTGCTTCATTTTCTTTAGGTGCTACAGATTCTTCCAATGTTTGAAGGAGTCCTAAATCAGTCTAGTCTTCTAGCGATGGATATTTCAATTGTTTCCATTTATTTTTTATTATATAAACACCTTCTGTGAGTACATATATAGGATATATTCCTAAAGTGCAAATTTTTTTTCTTTCACCCAAGTTAATATATGTCTACTGTCTAGTTAGTGGTTTACTCTCCCTTCCCCATCCACCCCTGGAAGCCGTCAAAGAATATTTCTTCTTTTGTGAAACCCTTTTCTTGACTTTCTACAACAGTGTTCTCATACAATATTTGTCCTTTTATAATTGACTAGCTTCACTAGCATAATAGGCTCTAAGTTCATCCATTTTATGATCTGTTTTGCAGATTCAGCATTGTTCTTTATCGTTGTGTGGTACTAAAGTGCAGTTTCAACAATAAAGGGCATGTACATCTAAAGGACAAAAGGTTTGGCCAAACTTCCCTCTGGAGAGATTTACCTAATTTAACTTCACATCAATAGTAGGAGGGAGCTCTGATAGCATAGTGGCTAAAGCACTTGACTGCTAACCAGAAGGCTGGCGGTTCAAACCCACCAGCCACTCCTCGGAAGGAAGGTTGGGCAATCCCACTTCCATAGTGATACTGCCTTGGAAACCTAAGGAGGGGTCACTATGAGTCAGGGCTGACCCAATGGCACATAACAACAACAACGACAACATCAACAGTAGGTAACAGTAACTGTTTTCCCTATTTCCTCCCAACTTCTGGTTACTACCAACTTTTTAATTGTTGCTAATTTACAAACTATGCATGATTTCATGATTTTGAGTCTATTTCTTTAATTATGAGTGATGCAGTACATATTTTAATGTGTATTGATCATTTCTATAGTTTCCTACTAACTGCTAACTTTTTTGCCTTCTTGTTCTGATTTCTACAAGTAAATTAGCCCTTTTTCATTTCTTGAAATATGTCCCATTATTTTATTCATCTGTTTATTTTTGTCATTCAGAAGTTTTATATTCTGCGTGATCTTCAATTGACCAATCTTTTCCTTTATTGTTGGTAGGTTTGTGTATCATTAGGAAGCCTATCCCAATACTAGATTATGTTGTTGTTCTTATATGCCATCGAGTCGGACCCAACTCATAGCAACCCCTCCTTGGATTTCCGAGATGGTATCACTATGGACAGGAGTTCTGGTGGCGTAGTGCCTAAGGCACTTGACTGCTAACCACAAGGCTGGCGGTTCAAACCCACCAGCCACTCCTCAGAAGGAAGATGGGGCAATATACTTCTGTAGTGATACTGCCTCGGAAACTCAAGGAGGGGTCGCTGTGAGTCGAGTCCGACTGGATGGCACATAACAACAACAACAAATCACTATGGACTACATTGCTCCATCTTCCTTCCGCAGAGTGACTGGTGGGTTTGAACCACCAGCCTTCTGGTTAGCAGTCAAGTATCTTAGGCACTACACTAAGATTGTAAGTATGTTAATATAATAATGTCTTTATGGTTTTATTTTTATGTTTAAATCTTTAATATATTTTGAAAGTGTTTAGTGTAAGCAGTGAGGTATGTAGCCAGTTTTTCTTCTCCTCCAAAATTTTGAGCCAGTTTGTTTCAAAATCATTTAGTGAGTAGCCATTTTTTTACCCATAGATTAAAATGTCACCCTGATCGTGTACTAAATCCTCATACACTGTTAAGTTTAACTTCTTGAAATTTTATTGTTTCTTTGTTTATTTCTATGTGAATACCGTCCTCATCTAGCACTATCTTACAATACTTTTTTATTCTTCATTTGGAAAGGCTAGACCCCTCTCATTCATTGCTCTTTTTGTTGAGAATTTTTCTTCCCTCTCAATTTACTTTTATTTTTCAATTGAGCATTAGTATCACTTTGTCAAGTTAACAATTTTATATTTTATATATATATAGGTTAATTTAGAGAGAATTATCATTTTTAGAATATTTAATCTCCTCGTCCAGGCAATATATTCTTTCTTCTATATATTTTTTAATGTTACAGATATGGTTTAAAAGTTTTTAATGTAGTTTTTATTACTAAGTTTACTGACTGATACATTTACTTATTATTATTAATTATTTTTACCATTCCAAATCCCTATTACATGAATGTAGGAAAATTATTTATTTTCTGTATTTTTTGTCCTACTTTCTGAATTCTGTTTTCCCTCTTTTAATATTTTTATGTGTTCCTCACATTTTCATGGTTATACTGTTATCACTCATGAATAACAGTAATTTTGCTGTCTCTGTAAATATTATCTTATTTCATAGTTTTTTGTTTTTTGTTTTTTTTGTAATTGGATTGGCCAGGACTTCTGGTGACATAGTGGGTAAGGCATTTGGCTACTAATCAGAAGGTTGGCAGTTCAAACCTACCAGCTACTCCATGGGAGGAAGATAAGGCAATTTATTTCTGCAAAGATTTACGAGCTTGGAAACCCAATGGAGGTCACTATGAGTTGGAATTAACTCAATGGAAGTGGGTTTGGTATAATATAAATGTATAAATCAAAAGCCACATTATGCTTGAAGGTGATTATGTGTATACACACACACACACACACACACACACACACGGTACCCTGGTGGTGCAGTGGTTAAAGCACTCGACTTAACCGAAAGGTGGCTGGTTCAAACCCACCAGCCATTCTGCAGGATGAAGATGTGGTAACCTCCTTCTATAAAGATTACAGCCCTGGAAACCCTATGGGGATGTTCTGCTTTGGGTCACTATAAGTCATAATCAACTCAATAGCAAGAGGTATTTCGAGAAGATAAAGTAAAAGTATTATAATGAAATGTGCGAAGACCTGGAGTTAGAAAGCCAAAAGAGAATAATGCATTCAGCATATCTCAAGCTGAAAGAACTAAAGAAAAAATTCAGGCCTTGAGGTGCCATACTGAAGGATTCTATGGGCAAAATATTCAAGTATGCAGGAAGCATCAAAAGAAGATGGAAGGAAAACAGAACCACAGCACCAAAAAGAATTGGTTGATGTTCAACCATGTCTGGAGGTAGTATATTATCAAGGACCAATGGTATTAAAGGAAAAAGTCCAAGATGCACTGAAGACACTGGCAAAAAATGATGTGCAGTGAACAGATTTAGTTATTAAAAAAAAAAAAAACCTTAAATTGTTTAGGTTGTGCAGTTGGCAGGCCAGTGGTGACCTTTGCCAAGGTAACTTCAGGGGAATGGATGGAGCAGAAGACCGATTTCTATATGTTAAACTGTTAATAATAAGTAAGGCATGGAGTGAGTGAGCCTGCACCTCCTTTTAGGAAGCTTGGCTGAGAAGTGTAGGAGACAGGGCATTGCCTGCTGTGGCAATTGGGATCAAGTTATGATTTTAAGCAAGAAGATATTTCAGTGATTTACACTTTTGAGCTGGTTTAGGATCAATACTTCTGGTGTGCCTGATGTAAATCATTAATACATTAAAATAATAGAAATCTTTTACATTCTTTTTCTGTAGTCACTTGAGCCCTTACTCTCTGTTACTCTGCATTCTCCCTCCTTCCTCCTCCTTCCCTAGCAATAAGTGCTACACACACACACACACACACACATGCACACATGGCCATATACACTTGACTCTTATAATAATGACCATGCAAGATCCCTCTCAGAAAACATTGCTATTGGACTGTACCCAGGATTTGTGCTTGTGCCACCATAACCAAAGCTGTAGATCAGGTGATCTCTGAAGGAAGGGCCCAGTTGAGTAGGTCTTTAATCAGACAGTATAAATTAAATCCTTCTAGGGGAAACACTTAAGAAAGATTGAAGATTTTAAAAGACAGAGTCCATAATAATTTTTATTTCATGTCCTGCACAGGTGGCAACAGAGACCTGTGAAGGTGGATGTGATTAGCACAAACTTCACTCAGACTAGTGGGAGAGGTCCTAGCACCAGGGAGGGGCAGGGGCAAAGCCCATAGGTCAGTGAAGCTCCCATCTCCATCTGGGTAGTGGTCCCATCTCTTGGATTTTATTTTTTGTGGAAGGTGCAGGCTTCCAGGAGAGCTGTGGAACAGAGCAGAGACAGGATATTGAAAATCTACCTATGTTTATTAACTGTTCAGTGAGTGAACAGATTGGCATGGTACAAGAGCACTCAGACATGTTACCCTCCTCTTCTTCTGACTGGCATGCTGTACCATTCTCACATTGCCCACACAGCTTCTCCACTTGCGTGCACAGCTCCAGTGCTAGTCCCAAGTATGATGACATGATTTCTCTGGGCTTTACCATCTCCCCACCTTGTATCTTTTTGGTGGGGCTCACACACCTGAATTCACTTGCCAGGA